TTTACTATATAACTCGCTAGTACTCATTATCTTTGGCTAAGTTTTCGTCTTCCGTTTGGCCTTTTCGAACTGCCGAGAGGACGGGCTGTTAAACGCTATGGGCGCTGTTTTTCTTTAAGGTTTGGAAATAAATTTTAAGAAGTCTTCGGCGCCCAAGCGGAAAAAAACATCCCCCTCTAACTGCCCTTATTGCTTTCATAACACACGGTATGGTAGCACCACGTACAAGCGACGAACCCCTCTTTTGCTTTCGCATTCCAGACGACGCTCTCTTTAGTGCCCGCGTTGGCGGAAGATTAAATAATCTACCACCAACGTGCAGACGCAGTTTTTGAACAGACTGTGATTGTGAGGATGGTTTCGCGTTCCTCGGCGCTCTGGCCGAGTCCAATTTGACGGATTTCACAGCAGGCTGCACTGCGCCGTCGTTGCCGTCTCGCCCCGTCCGGCGACCGGCGTGGCGACGACATTCTCGCGAGCAAGGCGCGAAGCGGCGGCAGCCACAAGAAGGCGGCGGTGCCTTTTGCATTCCTTCCGGGCGGCCGGCGTCGGGGTCGTTCTTCGTTCTTGTCGTAGAGACCCTCGCCACTCACGCCTCGGCGTCCAAGCCACCGTCATCGCGGCTGTCGCGTCCGCCCTGCAGTCGGCAGTCGGCCACACTCTGGTAAAACTACTGTGGCACACGGGTCACGTTTCTGACAAAGTAGCCTCTGTTCTATAAAATACGAACCCTACTGATAAAGTAAGTGTGCAGGTGCTTAACACTTACTCTGTAGTTGCATACTTGCAATACTACGGAGTTGCAGACCTACAAGTGTTAAGCAACTTTGATCAGCGTAAGGATTTAAGGATTCCTGACTGCTTGGAACCCAGGACGTTGTTTTGTCCTTGCTGTTTAATGTCCACCCACTGCGGCTACAGATAAGTAGGCGAAGATTGTCCGCGATACACCTGTCTGAAGTGCCCGGTATTGACACCATGGCACCTGCTTTCTTGACAATTTTCCTATTGTGATATGAGTCATTTTAAGCTGTTTGGACGCCGCAGACCTGCTATGGATTTCGGTGAGAGAGATAAAGGTGATATCGATGTGTGTGTGTGTGCGTCATCGACTAATCCTGGGATTCCTGTGGTCTGCGGTCGGTGTGCTGTGGGTACAAGGGTTTTCAAGCTTACATTTTTAATTCCAAGCAGACTGCTTAGGAAAACAGGTTCTGCTTAAAACGGTGCAGTTTCCTAGCTTCATGTAGAAAGTTGCGATGTAAATAAGAATATCACATCTTAATTATTTTTAATTTACGGATGTTGTATGCATGAAACTTCCGGTGCACCCCCTCGGTCTACCCACCCGTATCAGACGGCCCTTAACGGCCGCTGTCAAGCAGAGCCAGGTTTAATTGGCGGTCTGCTCGGTAGTTATCGAAAAATAAGTACCCGAAAATCAAACACTGACTTTGAGCATGTCCTTCCGCGCGGGCCCGCGCCAGGGACAGCTCTATGGTTATGATTGCTATTCATTACACGTTGTGAGAGGAATTAAGCAAGTCGTAGAAGGAGAGGTAAAGGGAGTAAGGAAGCGGAGGAGAGTCGTGTTCCTGCTCCTAGGCGGCTGGGCCGAGCCGCGCGTTATCGCTCGGGGCTGTCTGCGGAGTGAGAACATTATCCTTGCCTCTCTCTCTCTCTCTCTCCTTCCTCTCGGATACGCCCCGTGTGATCCTTGGTGTGTAATTCTCGCGGCTCGGTGCTGTGCAGGGCCGTGGTTGGTGGGGCCGGCCCTAAACGGCACTATGGGGATTATAAGTCACTTCTGCACGTGAAAGGGAAATGAAGCAAAGGGGATCGCACCTTGCGGATCCCTCCTCGCAGCCCCCCCCCCCCTTACCATTACCCTTTACAATCAGGAGGGTGCCAACTCAAAAAATTCGAAAAATTCAAGTCCATCGTATATTTCGTAGAAATACGCAGAAATACGTCTAAATTCACGCCAAATTAAGTCACAGATGCACACGAGTGTGCCACCGCTTGTTTCCACTCTGTGTAAACTTTATTTAAAAACACGATTTAGGAGGCAAATTAAATTTTGTACTCAGGAGTTAACTCATTTTTTAAATTCAGATTATTATATTCCTTATTCTGGTAGGATCATCCAGAAAGTGTGTCCGTCAATTGCTGCTTCCAAATTGCCAAGTTCAGGCATTGCAAGGTTTAGAAGCGCCTAACAGGTAGGCAACACATTGGCTATAGTATATATGCGTGTACTGCGGGCTTGCCTACCCCGTCTCACGCAGGCGCCGAGCTCTCATAATTAAGTGGGAGACGATCCCTACAAGGAAAAAATTCTTTTTTCGCGGTGCAGTGTTAATCTCTTTTTGGTGTTAGCGTCGTCTGCTGAATAAGAACGAACTGCATTTTGTTTAGTGTTCGCAACTAAAGAAAGTTTCATTATTGTTCAACCTGCCAAGAAACATTGCCCAACATTACCAATAGGAAATAGAAATGAGGTGTTGGCAAAGAACGAGTATAAATAATAAACATCAATTTCTTGGTTTTTATAATTACAGGTGCTCAAATCAATTTCATTTTAGGTTTCGGTTTCATTCCATAAGGCAGTCCTCAAAAGTAGATTGCACTGCCGGATTGCCGGTGTCCCGTGAGGCAGATCGGCAGGCCGCGTGAGCGACGCTGTTTGTCGCCTTACTCTCTCCACCACCCTGAGCGTACACCTAGTGCTGCCGGACGACGGCGCCGTGCCTGTAGGCCCCGCGCGCACACGGGTGCACGACGGTGGCTGGGCGGCCTACCTCCCGGGCGGCCTACCGCTGCTCGCCGCGGCCGTACGCCGCGCGTGGAGGGGGGCGTATTGTCTTCATGGTAAGCACTTCACGGGGCATTGGCCTGGGCTACCTGGCCGCCAGACGTGGGGCGTCCGCCAAGCACGAGAGCTCGTCCCTCGTCGTAATATGGACTCACTTTCTTCCGGTCCCTTTTCATTCATTTTTTCTCGTTTATTTTTCTTTACTTTTCCCACCCCCTTCGCCCGCCCACCCCCCTGTTTTGCCCGCGGTGGGTGTTGGTTGGTTGTTGCATGCCCATCTCTCTCCCCGGCGCAAGTTTATGATGGATGGGCGGAAAAATAGAGAAGCGGGGAGGGGGATGAAGGTCTTGATTCAGTCTGCATTCGACATGCCAGGCGCGCCTGGGTGCTAGGCAACACGAACCGGGACCAAAGTTGTTTTTTGAAATATACAGTAGATGACTCGTAGGCCGGAAGCGAAAAATAGAAGAATGATATCGAGTTAAACAATTACGCCCTTTCACCACACCCAGAAGAACCAATGTCAAAACTCCTGTTGGAAAGGGCTATATCAGCCAGCGGCCGTCAGCGTTCGTCCCCAGCTCCGGTGTACCCCCGTTTTTCAGTTGAAAGAGCCACGGGTCTGCGGGTCTGAAATTTTCAGCGTGTTTAAGGGGTGACTCTTGAACACCAGATCAGTTAGTTTACAATGTGGGATTTTCCCTCATTTTTTGAGATTACTCAAAATCTGAGGTGAGATCGGAGGAGTTTTTCTCAAATGGGAGTTCCTCCCCTTTTTTTTTCAAAATATGAGACATCGTTTTTACCGCGTTAAAATCATACCATATTTCCCATTAACGATGTGAAATAGCGATACGCATATAGTTTAAAAAAAAAAAAAAAACCATATAGGGCATGTTT